AACCTTCGTAATTTTTATTTCTTATTGGATTTRAACTCGAGACCTTCAGACGCTTATGATATTTAAAGTTCAAATTTAAATCAACGAGACATCATTTTTATTGTTGTTTTGGTGAATGGTCATGTAGTCGTATTAATTTCACAACAATACAAAAAATCTTAAAAGAAAACACGTTTGTTTTAAATTAAATTAAAAGTTATATTTAAAGATAYTCAGTAGATAAATGGACGAGTTCTTTACACGTCAGCATAATTAATGCACTTCTCCAACGGCAATAATTTCACGATCAGCAATTAATTAAATGCAAACAGAAGGGGCAAAAAATTGGGTGAGTAAAGCCCCACCTCATAAATGTAGACTCGCACGTTTCTACATTTTGGTTCCCAAATCTATGGAACATTTAATCAATATACATTTCTATTTATGTATATCTAAAACCATAGGTCATTTCCGTTAACGACATTTATTTTGAGACGAAAAGAATAATAAAAAGATTACAGACAAATAAAACATGATTTATTTAATTATATTCAGGCCAAGCTTCAAAGTCTGATCAGACCGAAATCTTAAGGGCATACTTAGGCCTAGGACCAGCTAAAGAAGTCTGATCTAAAAAGCCCGAAAAAGTCTGACTTAAAAAAACCTGACAAGACTCTTTTTCTATCCTAAAGCCCGATTTTGGTCCAAGAAAAATTGTGTCTGTTTTATGCTCGTTAAAAACAAGCTTCCAAGGCCCAGGCCCAGGCCCGGTCTAAGAAAAATTGTGCTTGTTTTTTGCACATTGAAAACAAACTTCGAAGGCTCGGGTCCGTGCCTGAAGGAACCAGGCCTTGTACATCTCCAGTTAAAACGATACGTGATTCAAGACTAACAAGTAAAACTTGAAAAACGAATGAGAAAAAAAAAAGTTCAAAATATGAAACAACAAAAAATGATTCAATTTAAAAGGTAAGAGGTAATCTGTTTAGTTCTAAAAAGATGGTTCCAGTCGAAATCTGTTCCTGCATTCTCAACCTTTTTATTGTTCTCGTTGAAACCTCCCTTGATCGTATGTATTTCTACAATGTGAAAATCACACATTTATGAATATCCGCCGGCTTCAATTTTTGAAAACGTTGCATTCGACTATGACTTCCCTCTCTAGTGTGTGTATGTGTATACATAGGTAACGGATATACGCTATCATTTGTAGCACCCACATTGAACCGGTCCCACAACCATCATAAGAGAGAAAAATCGCAGTATTCCGAAGACCATATAGATTGGTGTCCGGCTTCGAACCCATGATCTTATTATGGATTCCCACATCCTCACTGCTAAAATGATTTAGCAGAAAAATAACATTAAGATGATGGAAAACTAAATGGAACCAAAAATATACGATTGATGAGAGATGTCTAGGGGATGAATTGCACGCATCCTGAGGTGTTAATTGTTGTATGCGTAATCATAGAAAGGCGAAACTGCAAAGTAATCAAGACGAGGTTTCGATCCAATGGTAYGTGTTCAACCATAATTGATCCTTGAAGCATATTCCGGTCATGGTTGTCCCTGGCGTTGGTGGAGTCGTTGCAGCATTTTCCGTCGAAATTAGCATTCCCAACCGCTAGGTTCGGTGGCAACATGGATTGTTAGGGTTATGAAACTAATATAGTTCAATCCAGATAAATGCTTGATTTCGCAGGAGGTAGAAGACCACGTGTGAGAGAATATGACTCGACAAAGGGGTTGTTTGGTTGGTTTTTCATTAATGTCTTGTTTGTTAGCAGCTTAATGAATTTAATAGGGTTTACAACTTATTCAATTAGCTATACTGCATGTACATGACTGTTTGGTAGTGAGTTAATGATATATAAAATGTTTATCCAGTAAGCTTATAGGGAGGAATTTTATGCAAAAAAAAAAAAAAACAAGTTTTTCCCAAACCTTTACGTCCCAATTAAAAAACACACTCCTTTCATATATGAAAAAACTCTTCCAAACAAAACATTTCCACTCTATACATAGACTAATTGATACAAGACTTAATAGAAAACCAACCAAACAGCCCTTTAGTCATGTGCTATCTGTCAGTAATTAATTTGTCGGTGTAGATTGAAAATGTTTTTTTGTTTGAGAGAGTTTTTCATAWATGAAATAAACATGTTTTTTAATTATGAGATAAATTAAAAAAAAAGTTGACTTTATGCATATAGCTCCCCCCCTAAAAACTTACTGAATGAGTCACTTTCAATATCATTAAGTCACTACTAAACAATTATGGCGCCCGAATAAGTTAGTGCATCGCGTTAAGCTCATTGAGCTGGTAACAAACATCCCCTAAGACTAGTCCAAAGCAAACATAACTACTAACAGACAAAGCATCAAACACCTTACGTGCATTCCAACAAGATACTACAAACTCTCAATTTTAAAGCAATCAAAACTCAACAAAATCCAAATTAATCAACTAGAACTACAAATTATCCTGTGTTATATAACAATCGAACTCTAATCCCGAGGTGATTAGGTATTCAAYTTGTTTGAACTACGCTAATTTCAGTAAGATAACCCTAATTTCAACATCGAAAACCAATCATAACCCAAACCAAACTAATTAAATTCAAATAGAGGAGATATATTCGGGATTTACCTGAGTTSAAGAAAATTACTCGCTTTGAAGAAGACATCTGGAAGTCAGAATTGGTGGTTATGTTTTAGAACAAATGAATATAAGACAGTTTGGCCGAGTGGTCTAAGGCGCCAGATTTAGGCTCTGGTCCGAAAGGGCGTGGGTTCAAATCCCACAGCTGTCAAATTAATTTTTTGTTTTTTTTTGTATTTATATAGGTGTTAATTGATTAAAATCCAACGGTTTAGATGAATTTGATTTGGTTTCATCCATTCAACAATCGGATGTTGGATTTTGGMATTCGATCTAATTTGGTTTTATTTATTGGAAATTATTATTGGTTTAGGCGAATGATCATGTGAGAAACGTAAAAAGAGATCTGAACACTTGATCATCTTTAAACTTATGTCTACCGATGAATTGTGTTTTAGAAGAAACAATTGATCAGGTGGAGTTCATTAGTCTTGACATTCAATTAAGATTAATGCAAAGGTGAAGATCTCTTCTTACGTTTTTCACTATAACTTCATTTCTTACCGGAACCCAATATTGGTAATCTATTGAATCGTATTAGATYCATCTATTATTTTGATCTAATTCTAAAAAAAAAACTGATCAACCGTTTCAATTAATTTATTCGTATATTTTTTTAGGTTACTAAAAAAATTTACATATAAATATAAACTGAAAAACAATATTGTAAAATGTTAAAAATTATATATGGTTATTAATGGGATRGTATTTGGATTGTCATCGAAAAACCGACCAATTCAATTTGAATGTTGAGAATTTCGATCGGATCCGATTCAATTACAACTGGATATACAATTATGGTCGGTTGGTAGTTTAAATTGGATCAGATGAATTTCTACACACTCTTGTATAAACACATTGATAACATTGATATCAATTTATCAAATTATATTATAGTTTTCARTTAAGTGAAAAAAAAATACCACACAAATTCTTACTGATATTATATGAAATAAAAATACGTTTATTAAACGCTTACCGGTATGACTCCACATATTTGCTTTATCGGGTAACAATCCTAAACACCAAAATGGAATGATGGTATACATTTATCACCCGATAAGCATTTATCGGGTAAGACAATCTAGCCTTGTCTCACCTCTTACCGGACAATATTATCGGTTCTTATTATGTTCTGCTGGTAAGGTAATTGACCCGTTAAGTATTTACGGACATGAGTCAATACTTTCACTTACCTTGTCGGGTAACAATCCCGAACATCAAAACGGATTGATGGTATGTATTTATCCCTCCCCTMTTATATCTTACTGGGTAAGTTTCTYGGTTTTTYYTATGTTCAMCCRGTAAGGTAATTGYTSCGGTAAACRCTYAACGGTAAGYGTTTGGTAAACAACTCCCAAGTAAAATAAGTGACTGAATAATAAAAGAGTAAATTACATTTTTAGTCCCTGTGGTTTGYTGAAATTTCTATTTTCATTCTTATGGTTTACAAATCATTTATATATTAATTCCTCATACATAAAAATAGTATTTTGGCCTCATAGACGAAAATAAAAATGAATTGYAAACTATAGGGATGAAAAACGAAAATTTTAAACCACAGGTACTAAAAACGTAATTTACTCATAATGAAAAAAAATAAATTCAATAAGAATWTTCGAGTCATAATTCGTAACAACAAGGACTCTGTGGCCCAATGGATAAGGCGCTGGTCTACGAAACCAGAGATTCTGGGTTCGATCCCCAGCAGAGTCGAATGTTTTCATTTTTGGGCAAATTCATTTAGTAAAAAGGCCAAATTGGATGATAAAGTAACAAACTTTAACTTAATTTCTATTTTGGATAATGTACTTTCAAAACTTCTATTTTGGATAATGTACTTTCAAAACTTCTATTTTGATACTTAAGATGTAAAGTTTTAAACATTTAAGTTCCCGGATAACCGGTTATCATACTGATGTCGTATCCAACTCAGTATTATTTGCTGACGTGGTTAGTGACATGATTTTTTTTTTAATCTAAAATTAGTCTTTTTTTTAATCTAAAATTAATCTTCAACTAGTTACCCAGATACTTAAATGTTTAAAACTTTACATCTTAGATACCAAAATGAAAGTTTTAAAAATACGTTACCCAAAATAAGAATCAAGTTAAAGTACGTCACTTTTTCATGCAATTTGCACCAGTAAAAACCTTATTTCTACGGTATTTGTTTGGTTTACTCTTCTTAAAAAAGGTTTGACAGTGTTACAGATATCATGCATACGCTAATCGATAAACAACATAAACTTTTAACGACCGCTTGGATCAACGATGTTCGTTTTTATTGTTTCCGTCAACCGAATTGTATGTGCAATTAYCATCCTAACGGGTAACGATATCTAGATATCATCATATCACGAAAACTTCTAACTTTCGTATGATCTAAAAGAATTATATCGTGTTTATAAGAACAACCCATTTAACACGGATGTTTCAGCAATTATGTTAGACTGCGAGCCGATCACGTAGCAATCACATAGACGGTTTTTAGGACACTAGAAATCAAATGGAAACTTGACCTATGAACTCTCTAAAAGAGTAGAGGCTGCTTCTTGAAAAAGCTTCCAAGCTGCAACAACATGCCTCTCTTCCGTCAATGGAGCTCCGACAACAAACCGTAGGACGTATTTTCCCGATAGAACCTGAAAAACGAATTCCACGAGCGAAATCTGATTAAGAACCAAACAGACCCGTATATATTTCACCCRAAAGTGGGAACCTATGCAAACCAAATCTAATTATGAATCAAGCATGTAGAAGTAGAGTCTGGGGGTAAGATGAATGCAAACCAGATCAGATTACGAACCGAACAAACTGGTATATATCTTACTCGAAAGTAGGGTTWAAGGGAAAGATGTATGCAAACCAGATCAAATTACGAACTAACAAACTCATATCATCGTAATTGACTTTTTGTTGTAAAACGATCATTTTTCTTGTGTTAATGCCGAAAAACAATGGTTTGCAAGTGTGAGAACTTGAGATGGATTGAAGAATACGAAGATGAACAAACTAAACCAAACAAACTCGGTATATCCCATTCAGAGATATGGTCTTTTTTTTGTGTGTGTTTTTTTTGGGGGGGGGGGGAGATTCCCCCCTTATAGGTGGAGGTTCAAATGAGAACACCTTCATTTTACGAAAATGCAAGAAACCTTTGTCATATGTGATAATACATGTTAGGACCTGATGGTGTGGCGACTAGGTCACGCCAAAGGTTTCCCACATCTAGTTTATATTACATGTGATGGACTACAATATCACATGTGATTAACTATAATAAAATGGTGTTCTCATGTTTTCGTAAAATGAAGGTGTTCTCATTTGAATCCTTCCTTACACAAAGTATATACAATAATTTAACATCAAGAATGTCGGTTTTGGAAGTATTGTGGAAATGTAAATGCCAAAAAAACTATTATAAGTTCATTCATGCAAAAATGTAGCATAAGTTTAGCAAAAAAATCAATCATTGAATGTAGATAGACACAAACGGATTAAAATATTTCTAAAAAWAGAAAGGCGTATACCGTATGAGAGATGAAGATCTTCCCAGATGAGTTGATGGCATCCAAGAGGTCGCGGTTGAGTTCGTTTACAYGGTCTTCGTTTTTGTTGGCAGGTAAAAGGCGAAAGCAAACTAATGAAAATGTTCGAGTGGCAACAATCTGAAAATGGAAAGTGTTTATGAGATATGGATGTCCGGTGAAAATTGCAACAATTACTTTTTAGCAAATCTCAAAGCTAAAATCACCAAATTTTCCCATTGTCATTGTTACCATTAAACAATTTATAACGTTAATTTTCATGTAAAATGTTGCAGATTTTGGTATCTAAAATACCCTTTTAAGTTATGACAAAGTAAAGATATGGACCTGAATTGATAACGTCAAATTTTTCATAATGATGATGAGGGGTAAAAAGGTAAATTACGTATCTAGGTAACCATGAAAATGTTGAGATTTCTTTTTTGAAGTCTATTTTAGACTCCATCCCAAAATAAATGTCCACGATGAAAAAGSYTTGTAGTTTCAGAAATATGTAATTATTACACTTTTTAATTAACTAAATGACAAATTTACCCTTGACAATGGAGAAAGTAATARACTTTGCTATCTCATAACTAAGGGTAGAACTGGWAAGTAGACRCTTATTCTGAAAACCGACACTTATTTTCAGATAAACTAAAATARAAATGTTAACACTTATTTCGAGAGAGAGGGAATGTACGGCAAAACTCACACACAACCCTCACTGGTAACCCAAGTACCACTAGGCCAATCACTTCTTGTGATTTTAGTGGCATATCGTTATCRTAAACAAGAAATCTAAGTGATTCGGTCTTACCTCAAATCTTGGGTCCTGAGCAACAAGATCTCCAAAATGTTTAGCCAAGTTGATATGGTTTCGTATGTAAGCCTGAAGATTTTYGACCCCGTAAAGCCGTAACACCATCCACAATTTCAAAGATCTATCAAAGAACACGAATTATAATCGGAAAAAATAGTTGTTTTTTAGTAATCTTGGAACAATGAATGCATASAAATAGAATGATTATGCGCAAGTGAAAGGTCTCTTTTACCCTTTATTGTGAAAATGAATAAAGTATCATACCTGAATCTACGCCCGAGAGGAATTTGCCAATCTTTGTAATCTACAACCGTATTACCTTGTGAAGCCTATATACATACAGGATTAYAGATACAGGGCAGGTTCAAATGAGAATGACAAAAATGCTGAAAATATGAGAATGACAAAAAAAAATGAATGAAAAAGTATTGTTTATGTCATAATAAAGAGAATAAAAATGCTCGTTTTGTTTGCTCCAATTTTGGGTATATTCCATATTTTCGATTAAAAAATAGGATGGGGGGAGCTTGTTTTAAAAMATTGTAACTTCCTTCCTAATCACATCCATTGGATCGTCTGATTTGATGGTTGAAATCTATTCTCACCTTCTCAACCATTTTGTCATTCTCATTTGGACCTCGYTCAGTGTGTGTGTATATATATAGGGTCAAGAACACGAAAAACAACAAAAAAACTAAGGAACACCGTGGTAACCTTTTATCTGGACAGTATGCACATGTGCATACAAGTAATTTGTAAGCAATTTGTCTGGTATGCACATATGCATAAAAACCAAGAAGCAACTTCAAATTACTTGTATRCATATGTGCATATCGTCCGGATGAATGGTTTTTTTGGACGGGTGTCCCAGGCTATCTGGACTAATCCCGGCAAATTGTGACCGCAAGAAATCAACCCTGATAAATTCAGTGGCCACAATTGTTATGTACGTCTGGAATCGAACCTTGGGCAGATGGGATATTCCAACACATCCCCCCAAGACCTCAACCACTAGGCCACAACCCTTGGGGTTTCGGAT